ACCACTGTCCCTCCTCTGGACATGTCCAAACCACTGTCCCTCCTCTGCACATGTCCAAACCATCTCAGTGTGTCCTCTCTAACTTTATCTCCCAGTTGTTCAACCTGTGCTGTACCTCTGATGATCTCATTCCTGATCTTCTCCATCCTTGTCTCTCCTAAGAAGAACCTCAACATCTTCATTTCTGACACTTCCAGTTCTGTCTCCTGTCTTTTTGTCCATGTCTCTGTCTCCTGTCTTTTTGTCCATGTCTCTGTCTCCTGTCTTTTTGTCCATGTCTCTGTCTCCAGACCATACAACAGAGCTGGTCTCACCACTGTCTTGTAAACTTTTCCTTTGACCTTTGCTGACACCCTTTTATCCCACATCACTCCTGAAACTTTTCTCCATCACTCCATCCTGCCTGGACTCTCTTCTTCACCTCTTCACCACACTCCCCATGTTCCTGGACAGTGGACCCTGAGTCCTTGAAGTCCTGCACCTTTGTGACCTTAGCGGTTTTCCAAATGCTAACAATATCACAAGAAGAAGAAGAAGGTGAAGAAGACGCTTTGATAAGGTAATATGCCAAAAAGATGGACCCCTTACTCGAGTGTGAAAAGATGAACCTGTTCAATCCATTTTTACAGAAAATCTGATTATTGAGTTCAATTATTTTTTTATGATGGATTTTCCTGTTTTTTTATTTGCATGTCAGGTTTGTTCGACAAAAGAGTGGAAATATTAAAATTGTTCAGTATTTTTAAAAACATTTTCACCTCTTTTCAGGAGAAGTTCGTGTAGTTGCCTTCAAGTTTCTGGTGTTAGTGCATTTCAAGCACAATGATTAATATTAGTTATAAGATTTATGCAAGAATTGTTTATGAAAACTTGAACACAATTTCTCAGCATTTTCTGGTGACCACATGTCGCTGTTTAAGTTATTTGTTTTGTATTAATAAACAACAAGGTTATTTCAGTTGCATGGTTACGTAAACATTTATTTATGTATTTATATAAAATAAAATGACTATTTATTGCCCCCTCCAACATATTCCTCAGCCCCCACAGCTAAATTCTTCTGGAGACAGGTCTGCTGAGAGCGAAGTGTTCTGTCAGGAAAATATGGAACATCTCAAATATAAGATGGAGCTAGGTTGTTGAGAGCTTTGTAGGTTAGAAGTAAGATTTTGAATTCTATTCTGGATTTGACAGGGAGCCAATGGAGAGAAGCTAAAACTGGAGAAATATGATCTCTCCCAGTAACTCCAGTTAAGACTCTGGCAGCAGCATTTTGGATCAACTGAAGACGTTTTAAAGAATTATTTGGACACCCAGATAATAAACCATTGCAATAGTCCAGTCTAGACGTGACAAATGCATGGACCAGTTTTTCTGCATCATCTTTAGATCAGATGTTTCTAATGTTAGTGATATTACGCAGGTGGAAGAAGGAACCATTACTTTAAATATATATTTCTATTGTTTTTCCATGTCCAATTTAAACATTCTTGTTGTTTAAATGGATCATTAAAGTTGTGGAATAAATTTCATGAGTTATTGCAACAAACTGTTGGGTTTGGTGTGAAGGTAACCATGCTGAATTAAATGACTGTTAGAGTTTTAAAAAGGCAGCTGGCTTCTTTTACTTTTTTAATTAAAAAATAAAAAAGATACACAGACGGGCTTTTGATGTGAAAAGTCAATACAGGAAGTAGCATCCTGTAAGCAGATGTCTTGACACGCGCACGCGTTCAGGCTAAAAATTCTTCCACCGTCGAGTCCCGCCTTCCTGCCTCTTGCAAAATAGTGATCCAGGAGAACGTCACCTTCTAAGTAGTGGGTCGTTTTGGTTACCTGTATTTCCTCACTGCAAGTTTTAACACCTGTTCACGTGGCATCAGCGTGTATTTCCTCTGAGGGCGCCTGTTTCACTAAAGGGCACCTTCTCGAGACGCAAAGTTAATGAAACGACGCTGCAGTGCAGTGACAGCTGCAGCCCGGCAGGCGGCGCGTGCGCTCCGGTTAACTTGGCCGTTGTAGGCGGAGCTAATCTATAGCCAGATGTCGTTGGTCGTTTAAAGAGTGTTCGTTACAAGAGTAAGAGTAGCGCCTTTGAGCGGAGTTTGTTTCACCTCTCCGCTCTGCGTGAAGAAACCGTAGCACCGCCCGCTCGGTGTACCCGCGCACGACAGACAAAACGACAAAACGTCAAAGTTACAATCAGTGCAGAGGAATTTCTGTAAAAACGAGACTACAGACTCTGAGCACTGTTCGCCATCGATCGGTCCGGAGTACATGACGCTTGATCCACTCGGCGGGACACGCTGGAAAAAACGGAGAAACCTCGGGAGGATGTCCAGTGCCGGGAACTGGAGCTGAAAATCGTTACGGCAAGATGTGAGGCGAACCGGGAGAAAGGAGAGACCGAGGCCAACGGCAGAATGTTGGTCCGGAGCTCGGTGAGTGCTGGCCGGTTAGCGCCGTGAGCTGGCGTCGGTGTGTGTGTGGTTAAAAAACAACTAACCACAAACTCGTTACTTATTTACTAACCAGACGCGTCAGATTATAATCTGTAGAGGCGATTCAGATGTTGGTTTAGCTTCTTCCGTAAAGATAGCTAACAAGCTAGCTGTTAGCTCACCGTCTGATCTGAAGTTTCTGTCAAAACAGCAACATTTTATTCTTTTACTTATTAAAACTATCCAGTTCACATTTTACTTATTAAACTATCCAGTTCACATTTTACTTATTAAAACTATCCAGTTCACATTTTACTTATTAAAACTATCCAGTTAACGTTTTACTTATAAAACTAACCAGTTCACATTAAACCGATGTGGGGTTTTAGTTTTACACGAGGGGAATATAAAAACGCTTTAACGTGATGTTTCTGTCGACTTGTCAGACAAAGCAGTCAGTAATATGAGTTTGTAGAGTCGGATATTAATTTCAACCCAGTTTTATGGAACAAAGACCCATGACATGAAAGCAGCTCCTCGTCTTCGTGGTTAGATGATGTTGCTATTGTCCTTCCAGTTTTCTCTGCAGGTCTGACGAGTCCTGCTGAGCTTCATGCTCCAAGTCTGGCAGAGAGTCTGTAAACTAGTAAATACTGGTCCAGAGAGGAAGAAGTTATTCAAATAAACAGGTTAATTTTCCACTTTCCTACTTTATAAACAGCTGGAGAGTTTCATGGTGGAAGGAGATCAGCAGCTGATACCACACATCCATCATCCTGAAGATGGTCCTCAGACCTGCTTCTCTGTACAGAATACTGATGGTTCAAAAGTAGTTCCTAAAACCTGCTCAGAAAAGTTGGAGTGCTCTGTAAAATGTCAATACAAACAAAAGTCATTTCTCAAACTTGCCTGTAAACAATTAGGACCAGAGAAGACCAGTTGTTGGAGGTTCTGGAAGATCTGAGGAGACCAGATGTTGGAGGTTTAGGAGGACCTGAGGAGACCAGTTGTTGGAGGTTTTGGAGGATCTGAGGAGAC